ATGGTGACGCAGGAGGAACTGGACCAAAGGGCTAGAGAATATATATATATATAACATGATTATGAGAGTCTTCATATAGTTTTTTGTGTTATGTATATTACACAGCAGGTTAAGATATTTTAACTTTATTCTGTAAGGACAACCTGGTCTGTCTGGTCCCCATGGTGACCCAGGAGGAACTGGACCAAAGGGCCAGAGAGGAAATGCAGGATTATCAGGGAGTGAAGGGCTAAGAGGTTGGACATATGCAATAATTAGTTTGTAATTACTTTGTCTTGTAATTTTTGTAAGTAACATTTTACTGGGTATTCTGTGTATCTTTGTGTGAGAAGGTCTTCCTGGTGAACCAGGCATTGATGGAGAAGTTCTGTCCCAAGGGAATCGAGGTCCGACAGGACCAATGGGAAACACTGGACACAAAGGTCAATCAGGTAAAATCTAATATTTGTTTGAAGAGTTCAATTCTTTAGATTTCAGCTGTCTTATGTACAAAATCTTCTTCTAATGTTGTTGCATTTAGTTTTGTGAATTTAGGCTGAATAAAAGGTGAAATATAAAAATAAAAGAAAAGGACGCTGGTGCAGACACATGAGTTAATCTAAGATTATAATTATACTCATGAAATGTACAATTTAGATATACACTGTAATTACCTGACAAGTAAAACTGAGGAATATTTTAAATGCTTCTCCATCGCAAATTAAACATTGTAGCAAAAAACTCCAGGACTAAAACTGTTTTATATGTTATGTGTCTGAAGCAAGTGTGTTTTGTAATGACCACAAATATATTTTAAATGCTTATTTTAATTTTTTAAGGGCCTAAAGGAATAAAGGGTAATCCAGGAACCCCTGGAACACAAGGAGCAAATGGTGTTATAGGTCTGACTGGGTACAAAGGCACTGCTGGAGAGCCACATTATGGATATGGTCCACCTGGACCACCAGGACAAAAGGTAGTGCTGGCTCATTGTGTGTTTTTATTTGAGCATCATAACCAAAATGTTTATGGTCATTTCTCATAAATTGTCAAAAATGTGAAAAACTCAAAAACAGCATGGTTATTTTAATTATGTACGTTATCTCCCTCTTTTGTCCTCAGGGTGAACCAGGGACGAGCAGTTCAATCATGCTGAAGGGTCAGAAAGGAGAACCTGGTATTGAAGGACCAGGAGGTCTGCCAGGAAACTATGGAGCCAAAGGAAACTCAGGACCTCTTGGAAAAAATGGTTATTTTTGATCATTGGTCATTCAAATGTGGCTGTTTGCGGAGGATTTTACTGAAAGTCTAACTGCATGCAGTTCTAGTTCATTTTTTGTTCTTTATGTCGATCTAACAACTGTCTAAATCCTATTGTTGCAGGCTTCCCAGGCTTCCAAGGTCCAAAAGGCTCAGATGGCCCTCCCGGAATCAAAGGATACCCAGGACCTAATGGACTTCCAGGTAAATCATTGGTTCCGAGATGCAGGTAAACCACAAAGATTTTCAGGTAGCCTGGTACAAACAGTATGATGATCCTGCTTTTGCCTCAGGTAGCCCAGGCCTCCCAGGTAAAAGTGGGGAACCTGGTCTCAAAGGCTACCAGGGTCTTGATGGTATTCCCGGGCCACCAGGACAGAAAGGGGACAGTGGTAAGAAAAATCATAATAAAAAATATGTACTGTATGTAGTTTTTGACTTCTCGACTTTGATGTTTGCTAACAACCTATGTTTTTATTTTTTCAAAGTTTGTTACGGTCAAACATCATTTATCTTTTTTTTTTTTCTTTCAACTGTAGGGAGAGGAACAGGACTGCCGGGAAGACCTGGTGATCCAGGTTATCCAGGTGAGAAGTAAAACTTATTTTTCTAAATGTAACCTTGTGAGAAGACACATTTTCATTATTTTAAAAGATGTCATAATGAAATGAATGTTTTGATGCATGCTCAGTAATCCAGGTGAATCTAACAAGGTTGAGTCAGGTCCTCTGGATGGATTATTTTTGTTAAAACGTTTTCGTCTTTATATCCAAAATATTTCTTCAGTCTGAGGAGCTGCAAGCAAACTCAGTCGTATAAGCAGCACCTTCTCATAGTGGATCAACCAGCTTGCTGGTGACAGAAAACTGAACTGACTGAAGAAGTCTTTTGAATAAAAGATGAAAAATTTCAACACAAAATAATCTGTCCAGATGACTTGACTCCATCTTGTTAGATAATGAAATTAAGTTTTAATGAGAAGTATATATATCCTTCTGTCAAATATTTATGTGTTACAGTACCACTGGTAATTTAGTTCTCAAATGCTTCCCCCAAATACCGTTTGCTACTTACCGTTCCATATTTAGGATATCTCAAATGAGCATGGTTTAGGGAAAAAAAACAAAAACATTTGATTGTGGATGTAATGCTTGGCCCACCGAAAATCATTTCATGAGTTTTCTTTTGAAAATTTAATTCACAATTTGTCACTTTGTATTGTCTTCAAAACTACATGAGATAACGATAAAAGCTGTTGCTTTTGGGAGTTAATATTTTATTTATAGCACTATCAGTACTGGTTTTACTTTAGCTAAAAGAAGCCTATGTATATTCAATGTCCAATGAGAATTTGGAAACCTCAAAAGGTTATGGTTAAAGGTTATGTACATTATTGTCAACTTCTTCAACCAGAAACAGAGGTTTGAAATTATATATATATATATATATATATATATATATAT